TGAGCCAATTCCCATCAATCATCTTACTGCCTGCTTCATACAGGAAACTGTCTGAATATTGATGACACAAGCACAAAATGTTGTAGCTGCAAAGAGCCGCCTCTGGTCTTTTTTTATGTATCATCTTAATCACTGCTTATCATATTATGGGGCTCTTTCTTTCCACAGAGGAACCCTTTGAGAGGAGGAAAAGTTAAACTAGATGTCACTGAAATTGGATCTTTTTTTATTAATTAGAGCAACAATGTGGCGTTTGGGGAGAAACAGGCGGTACAGCTGCACATACAGTAGCTTTTCATTTTTTACTTGTCTTATGTATTTCTATGAGGATGATCACAACGATGTACAAATGAAGGCTATTCACTATGTTGTATTCAAAAGGGCCAAACTCAATGCAACTGACTTTTTTTATTCAGATGAAAATAAAATATCTGGTACATAAAACCTATATGTAAGTATGAAAATGAGCTCAATAATTGGTAGTATGTCAAGACCCTGAATTTAGGATTAAATCTAGGCATTTTCTTTCTGGCAAAATATCACACACTTAATGAAATTAAACACAGTTTTTGTTTCAGTTGCTTTTTGTCGACAGAGTCTGATCTATCATATAATCCTTGCATTGCATCATGTTTTTATTATATTACAAACATATCAGCAATCAAGTTTTAGGTCTAGTAATCACAGTCTTTTTCTTATTTCACATCGTCATTACACAACATTCAGTTGATTTTGTATAAATTTTTTCATTGTAGTTTTGTTGTCTGACTTCTATCATACATTGTTAAGTTTCTCTATAACTATGTTTAAAGGCAGTTAGTAGTATGTTGATTGACAACCTCTAAAGGAGGTTTCTTTTATTTATTTCCTCGGTTTATTGAATGCTGAGTAAACACTCGTAAAACGCCCATAAGGAGGTTTCTCTTTTGTCAAATGGCAGAGGGATTATTATTCTTCCACCTTTAGATCCCACTTGTTTTTCTTTCACAGATGCACTGACAACCCTTTGCTTTCTTGCGGACTTGGTCGTTTATTCCTCTGTTCTTTGTTCAATTTTTAGTAACCAGTTTTTGTAGCACTCRCACATCTCTCACACTTAGTTGCTGTGTCTGCTGCCATTGTCTCCTTTTTGACAAAGGAGATGCTGTTTTTGCGATTTAATTGACTTTGTGTTCTATCAACTGAAGTGGCAGTGATGGACAGATGGCTGGAGGGGGGGGAGATCACTTTAGTTCTAGCCAGGAATGAGTCACGCCAAGTCTGAAACTGCTTGCACACTCGCTCAGCCTATTGTCAGCTTGCCGCAGTCAGCTACCATCAGCCAGAGCTGAAGATGAGCATGAAGCTTCTCAATGTCCTGATGCAGACTGAGAGGTGTATGATGGACTGTTTTTATTTTAAAATGAAAGTTCTCYTAGTTAAAGTTCTACTTCAGTAATTTCCCTCAAATGTGGGTTWATAGTTTCACGTTAATGCTTTCTGACTCATTATTGCCAGTTAGTGCTTCAAAACATAAATCTAAAAYGTTCCACCAACTGCGGGCTGCTAGATTTTCTTTTGCATCGGTGTAAAGTTTTGTATCTGTGCCTTTAAAAAGTCAGCACAAGCAGTTGGTGTTTGTCTTGTAAGCATGAACGTCAGCAGTTTGATAAATCTTGTTGCTGAAGTAAATAAAACCAAACAAGTGGCAGGACRGAGAGGATCAAGTGGGACTTGAGAAACTACGTCATTGGCTAAATGTGTAACCCTCTTCCTCAGCGTGCGCGAAACCACTGTGTCGAGAAAGCCAAAGCTACTGGGAATACTGGAAGAGGAGATGAGTGCAGGATCTGAGTGGAGGAAAGAGGATGGAAGAGACAGAAATAAAAAAATACAAAACAAAACATGAAATAAGGTTCAAACAGGGAGAGAGACACAAGTTGTATTTTCTGCATGACTGCAGTTCTTCACTTTTATAGTGGACTTGTACAGAGTTGTAGTAGCAGTAGCTAAAAAGGAAAATAGGCTTTTAGGTAGTGGACCGATTCCCTGGTGTATTACTGCTTCATCCACTATACTGTACGTGATGCTGTTAGATATGGGAAGCAACATCAACTAAAGCACCACCTTTTCTTCCACTGTGGCTTTTACCTTTTTAATTCTTATATTCTAATGTAGGGGTGACAAACTAATTTTCTCCATGGGCCACATGAGCATTATGGTGGATCTGAAAGGGCCAGTTTTAATTAACCTCATCATTTCATGTTTGACTAAACGGAAAATGTCACATTCCTCATCTCATTGCTACACATGTGCCCTGGTAACAAATAATAACTGAGCTCCTAGTGGTATTTTCTGCATAAAAACAGCAATTTACATGTCCTTTATAAAGTACTACATGTTTGACTAAATGTGAAATAAATAATACAGAAATACTATTGAAAGTGAAGGTAAGAGAGTTTTACTCACTTGTGGTGAGTCTTTAATTCTGAACTCTCCCACTTTCCGACAGGGAATTTCCATCCATAATCAACATGCATTATGGGAGATGTAGTTTATGGTCAATGCTGGCTTTAACGCAGCTTATTTTGAAAGGCGGAGTGTGGGTACTCATTGCCAGCAGCTCAGAGGCTGGACAAGTATTATCTTTAACCTTTTAAATTTATTTATTTTGTTGCATTGAATCAAACTTTTAAAGTTTACCATTGATTAAAAAAATTGTTTCATATCAAATTAAGTAAAGAAATTGGGGGTGGAGCTCTTGGTGGGCCGAACAGAAGTCACCCACAGGCCTTATTTGGCCCACAGGCCTTGAATTTGACACACGTTCTGTTGTAATGTTCCTCAGTCTTTTGGGTCGTCGTAGGACTAGCAGCGAGAACCTCTGCTTAATAAATCAATGCAGATGGTGGAGACCAAAGGACCCATTGCCCTTTCAAAACCCCCTTCATCTCTCTTCTTTTGACTGCTACATAAAGACAGCCACCTTTCACAAATATCTCTGCTTTGCTGATGAAAGGACTAAATTTGGGTCAAATCTTTCCACTTCTGTGCAACAAATAGTGTGTTTTTTATGTGGTGAAGCAGAGAGTGCTTCAASTTAACTAACAGTGCTCAGGCACAGCAGTGTGTTCAGTTAAGTGCTTGTGTTTGTACACCCACAATGGGGAAATACAAATACTAAAAAGTGCAGTTATTTTATCCAGAAGCACTAAAATTAGTGTAATGATAGTGCTAAATAAAATCACTGAAGATTACATGATATGTATCCTGGAGTTTATTCTGGCAGAGCCAGAGAAATTTCACAACGTAAATCAAAATGTTAAGTTTACAGGTTTTTGTTGTTTTGTTTAAGCTAAATTGAAGGAGTTTGGGCCAGAGCATGTCAACAGAATGTGTGTAAGTTTTCCAATAATCAAATTTGCTGGACATAGGATTCCAATTACTATAAAGAGAGTKATTGTTAGTGTGCTGATTAACATCCATTGAATGTGCACACCTTCTCCCAGATCTAATTGGCATCCTATTACTACCTGATTGTCAGTCACAGGTGTTGTGTGGGTGACAATGTGCTGTTAGTGCCAACGCAGAGTCAGGTCAAGAGGTTGGTTGTGTCAGACTGCTTCAGGCTCTTCCTGCCGTTGTGAGTTTATGTCAGTACTGTCAGCAGAGCTCAGCCTCTACAGCTCCACATTTGGACCATCTGTGCCCTGCCCTGAGACTTCTGGGGGCTACTGTCACCGTATCAGAACATATGTGACCACTGCACAGTAGCATGGATCGCTTTTGAAGCTGTGCATGTAAGGTGTAGTGATGTTAGGAAATATCATAGTAATTCTGTTTAGCTCCAGCTGGACTGTCATAAGGCTTTGTCAGTAAATAGACCATGTTTCAGTTTGTTCTTGTCTGTCATCCCCATTCTTCTTTTATCAAAACATAATTTACCTTCTGTAGCTTCCTTCCTTGTTAGGGTAATTGGCTTTAATGAGCTAAAATCACATTATTTTCCTCCTCGCCTTMTTTCATGTCGGAACATGTCTTTAAGAACATGTGTCTTGATAAGATCTTGACTGAAATAGAGCCTTGTCATTGAGAGCTCATTTTTAGAATTATTTTATACCGATTAGCAACAAGACGTTGGCAAAAAGCAAAACGTTCTAAATAATCCTGCAGCAATGTTTAGTTTTCATAGATTTTTTTTTGAAAGCTGCAATTACAAGACTAAAGATCATTTAGGAATGCTTGTACTACAAAAAAAAATTTTTTTTTTGTAGTACAAGCAAAAAAAATTTTTTTTTGTCAAAAGACTAAAAATACAGAACTGAGAAAACAGATTTATTTCAGATTTTTTTCTGTCTTGTACACACACGTCTTTTCTGTATAACATATTGTTTGCAAAACTTCCTTTTGTTTCTACGTATTTCTATAAATTGTCATATCAAATTTTTTTGAGGTGTGTAAAATCATTTTTATCACGAGATACAATAAAACTTGGTTTATTCTTGTTTTTATGCACGRATGTCAAACAATTCTGGCTTCTATCTCAAACTGATTTTATTTAGCAATTTTCTTTAGCATAAAACTATTGTTTTCATTGTGCATCTCAGGATGCATCAGTATGTAGAATTTGCATAAAAACAGTACAATATTTTATGCAATTTCCTTTGAGCTGCAGGGTTTAGCTTTTGAGCAAGATAAACTCTTTAGGAAAAGTCTTCATTTATCCAGATGTTAGAATTTGTTTGATTGCTTTAATCTTTCAAAGAATCAATAATAAAAAATAAAGTGTTTTTAATTTATAAAAAAAGGAATAGGTTTGGACCAAATATCATAGTAATAATAAATTCAGGCTACAATTTGATGTTTTAGAGGCAACAATCTGCAAACAGCTAATATCAATAGCAAGGTGAATGTTGTTTTTATCCATAGCAGGTACCGAAGGTTCTGGTGACGTATGAACACTACTCATTTAGTGCACACACTGTCTAAAAATGATCACTGCAGAGACAAAGTGAGCAGATGGACAGACAGTGAGGGGCAACTGAAGAAAAAACAACAGAGGAGTGACAGARCAGAGGGATGGAGACAGAGAAGCAGAAGTAGCACAGAGCGGCTTGTGAAAAGGAGTAAGGTAAAAAAAAAAAGATGCACTGACACGCTCAGACGAAGAGTGAAGAAAAAGCGAGCTTGCTGCAGCAGCTTAATTATCATCGGGACGAGAGTCGGTCACATGCAGCCACACCGGGACTTTCAGGGAGAAACGGCTGCACGTCGCTGTCAGAAGGAGCCACCAAGGCAGGAGGAGGACAAGAAGGCTGGAGTGGAAGCTTGATGGAGGGGATGAGCATCACGGCCACCTGACTCATTCTGAGAGTCAGTCTCAGCACCTGCAGCGGCAGACTGAGCATTCCGCCTGTCAACGAGACCGAGGCAGACGGGAGGAGAGAGCTGCTGAGATTATGCGCGGGGCAGTGAGCTCCGGTGTATTCCCCATCTTTGGCGATAGCAGCAGCAGCAGCAGCAGGGGGAGTTGGAGCTTTGGCTCTCCAGACAGCAGCCGACCCAACTGGAGCTGCAGCAAATCAAGGAGCTCTGACTCCAAAGCTTTTTATTCATCCAGAGATGAAGGTAGCATTTACAGCCACAGTGTAAGAGGAACCAGTTGTCCATGTAGCCACAGTGTTGAATGTACCTGTAGCCAAAGCAGTGACAGCTGCAGCACTGGTGCAAAGGTGACCACAGCAGTGCACTTCAGTGTAGTTGTAGTAGTAGCAGGTGGGAGCAGTGGCTCAGGACACTGAATGACCAGTGTGGCTGATGAAGGCCACCTGGATCAGCTTGCTGAAACGAGCCAGAGGAGGTCAAGTCAAGAGGTCCGATGCCTGTGTAAGGATATTTTCTGGTGTTTGTCCTGAAAGTTGCTGTATGTGCATGCACTTTTGTTGTTGTTTTATTATTATTTATTAAGTTTGTATTTCTTTGCAAATCCATCCTCAGTCCGTACTGTTAAGGGTCAGTGTGGCACAGTTGTGCATTATCCACTGATGATGAGAAGTTGTGTGTGTTGTAATCAGTTATGGCTGTCAGATTCTGGGCAGAGCTCCGTATCCCCTCCCCCTGACCCACTGGGACCACGGTCTCGATCACGACTCATGCTTTAAAGGTGACATGATGGGAAAGTCATAGCCAGCCAGGTATACTCACCTGCATTATTCAAGGTGAAATATAACTAACGGGACAGAGGCTAATATACAGTAAATAGCCACTTTATTACATTTATATCCTCTTTCGGAAGTGCTGCTTGTTAACACCTTGTAGCTTCTGAAATGTGACCAATCACTGAGACAAGTGTTGAATGGTGATCACTGATGCAAAAGCTGTTGAGAGGAATGCATTTTCTGATTGTGGTAAAAAGAAAAACAGAACCTGAGTAATTAATGAGCTCGTTTACATTTTTTTCAATTTTATCTCGTGTTCAATGTTGAGCAATGAGAGACGATCAAGCGACTGATGAGCAGCAAAGCTTTCTGTAAGATAGAGGACATAAAACAACCCAGCTTGTATTGTTTATGGTAGTGACACTTGTGTTGTCTCTTTACATAAGTCAGGTAGTGGAGAAGGAGAGGTATGATCTTCCTTTGTATGAGTGTGATGGTTTGGTAATTCTGATCAGGCACAGAGTGAGGGAGGCTATTTTTAACTCAGACAGCAGAGTGTAATGGTGCAGTGAGATGAATAAAAGACCTTGTGTTTGGAGCATAGTAGCAGGCAGGTGAGGAAGAAAAGCACGCTGACTCTGGGAGAGAAAAGTAATATAGCTTGTGTTTTCAGGCCTTGACTACTGTCTTGTGTGTGCTGAAAGGGTGTTCCTCATCAATAAATACATTTCATTACTACTTTTTGACAAAAATGTTCAAGCTTCTCTCGTTTATAACTAAATATAAATAGTTATCAATGTGAATGCTTAAATTAGACACAATTTTGCCAGCTACAATCCAACAACCATTCAATTAATTAATTAACTAAATTATAAATTCAAGGAACACTGAGTTCAAAGAACACTGAAAACTATTATATTATTTAGTTGAAAACCAAGAAGATATTTATGGCTAAGGTTGGCCCACATAATTGCATTTTCTAACTAAATTCTAGGGCTGTGTATTGGCAAGAATTTGGCGATATGATACATATCATAACAGAGGGGTCACGATACGATATATCCCGATATATTGCGATACTGTAAGCAAGGCAGTATATTGCGATATGTTGCAATTTTTTTGTCCAAAAATTCTGTTGAATAAAAACCTCTTACTGAAAAAAAGCTAATGTTTACTTACAATGCAAATGCTCTCTTACTCTCTGGCGCTCAAGAGGTAGAGGAGCCAAATGGCTGGCTCACTGCTGCCAACTGGTGGTCAGAGGCTGAACTACAACATAAAAATTAACGGTTGGCAAGAAGGTTGACATTTTAAACCTTAATTAAAAATCGATACAGGGCTTTAGAATATCGATACAGTATCGGCAAATGAAATATCGCTATATTTCAGTGCATCGATATTTTCTTACACCCCTACTAAATTCTAACAAATTCAATCATACATTGTGTCTATTTTATTATTATTATTATTATTATTATTATTATTATTATTATTATTATTATTATTATTATTAGTATAATTAGAAAAGCCAAGCTTTAAGGTTAATGATAGGGATTTGAATTTAGTGAGTGAGTAAAATTTAACTGTTTTTGTGCTGGAAAAAAAACTCTACATTTATTTATAAAATTGTGACATCTCTTTAAGCTTTGTTTATACACTTTTTTTAATCCAAAAACTGTTGAGGCATACAGCAGCACCAAAACGTTTCCACTATTCATTGCAACATAGCTACCGTATCACTGATTCTGCAGAATCAATTCAATAGACTAAACAGAATTTTGTTTGGATTAAACTGGCTTTCTACTAATGATCTGTTGGACATGATGATGGCATCGGTCCATGATTTATAGCTGCTCACATTCACTTTAATTAATGATTTGGAATAGTTTTTATTGAATTGTAAATAGAGTAAATACATTATTGTGCATTCAACGACTGAGTATCTGTTGACATGAGCACATAGATAAACATTGTTGTGGGCACATTTTGGTGTTGTTAGCCATCTGAAACATAAAACAGAGGTGATGATTTTCTCTAATCCTAATTAAGTATGTGGGAATTAGAGCAGTTGTTATCACTGTTCTCAAACTAAAGTGGTTTAAATGATCAGAAAATACAAATACGTTGATAATTTCTATGGGTTTGTGACTGAAAACTGATTTTGGATGTTCATTTTTTAATTTGTAAAAACTAAAAAATGTAGATTACATTCTGGTTTTCCTTAATGTTTGCCCAGGTGTTAGTCCCAGAGGACTCAGCCCTGAGAGAGACACAGAGACCAGGCTAAGGATAGACAAAGAGCTGCCAGTGATGTTGTTGTAAAGTGCCACTTTCTGTTCTCTGGTACCATTTCTCAAACAGAAAAAAAATGTGTTTATGAGTTTTGTTAGATTCAATCAACACTTGGGTGTTTGTACATTTATAACATGTGCAAACTCCAAATTTCAACATTTCTTTAAAGTGAAAAGGAGAATGTCTGCATGTAAACAGAGCATTGCTACAAAGGCAAAAAGACAATAGTGAATAATCTGATTTCTTAAGATTATTTTGTATCACTAGACAGAGTTGAAGAAGAGTCAGTTTATATAAAAAAAAGACCAAGGGGTTTCCTATTTTTAAAGGATGCCCCTTTGTTGTCACTTCCTGTTTGTCTTTGCCCATGCCAATTTAAAAAAAAAATCATGTGCGTTATGCAAACCTTCTTAAGGTGCGTCTTGCATTAAACCTTCCTGCATGTCACAGGCACTTTCATGTGCAACCTTCCAAATGTCGTGAGGGGACTGCTTATCATCTTACAACTGCTGCTCTTATACTGTAGACCAACACAGACTTGGACTTTTGTTTTGTCGTTGCTAACATCTTGCTGTCTGTGTCTCCACAGGGTTCGGCCGACTCTTACACCAGCCGTCCATCAGACTCCGATGTTTCCCTTGAGGAGGATAAGGAGGCAGCGCGTAGAGAGGCAGAGCGACAGGCTCAAGCACAGCTTGACAAGGCAAAGGTTTGTATTTTTAACTCAGGAACACCTTGGGCACTTTGACTTGGTCACTCAGCAACAATACATGTGCTTTAAAAAGTATCGGCCAAAACCATATTTTTGTCTTAAGGCCCTGTCACACTAGACAACTTTTGCCAACTTATGAACATTTTAAAGGTGTCTACATTAAAGATGGAATTGAAAAAACCAACAGGAAGCTTCTTTTTGGTGTGTACATAATGTAATTCTGACAAATTTATCAAATATATAATTTTTATTAGCAATTTAGACAAAAAAATGTTTCATAAATTGGCCTAAGTTGTGTAGTGTGATGGGGCCTTTAGACGTGCGTGTAGTGAGAAGTTATTTAGTTTGAAATTGATTGAAGGAAATGCATTATGCCACGAAAGCATCCTACAAGTATAGAAATATGAATGTGCATTTGTTCAGACTAAAATTAGTTTATTTTGCTTAAATAAGAGATGGCAGGCCGCATTCAAGCTGTAATATAAACTTTACACTGCTCTGTTTGTTGTTAAAAACTTAAGTCCACTTCCTTTTTGGATTTCTCCAACAGACTAATAGATTTTCCCCTTTATTTCATATCAGAGCCATTGTCAAGTCATAGACTTTTAGATGTTCTTTCATGGGTTTACAGATGTTGCTGCTAGGCTGACAACAAGAAAAACAGGGTATTGGAGTTGATTGCAGCTGGTTACATGAAGGAGGGCTTCTGATGGCTGCTGATGTTAAAGTTTAGGGGCCTCAGAGGGCTCAGCGTCACTGTTTATCAGAGCTAAGCCTGGCCTTCCTTGCTCTGCTCTTGGCCACAATTAGCTGCACATAAACAAACACACACATGACAGAACCGGCGTGCCTTTGCGCGACTGGAATTGCAATCAGAGCCCACTTCCACAGAATCACTCAAACCGCTGGCACAGTTAAGATTCACGTCTTTGATCTGTGAAATAGTTCTGAAGACATTCCGCTCTCCTCCTGCATCCCAGCTCCGTGGATAGCTTGTGGTGATGTGTTTTTCATGTTATTTCAAGGAAGTGTCTGAAAAATGGTTTTATTGTTTTTCATTGGGTGTTTAGCGTCTGTAGCATAGTTGGTTCATTAGCCTTGAGCCTTAAGCGTCACCATCCATTCACACAGACGTTTTCCTCCTGCTCCGTGTCTCAGAGTAGCTCATAGCTGGCAAAGACGTATCATTCCTGCAGATCGAAGTTGTTGTTTTCCAGACTCACCCTCTCTAGCACACTAATTAAAAAGATAAGTTGACTTTATAGATGACCTGGCATAGATCACCCCTGCTGGCATTTTAAATGACAGACGACTGGTCAAAAATAGCTTCTGGTGGTCTGGCCACCAGAAAGAGAGCAGCCTGGGGTCAGAGGAAGTGCAGACTGTGAGCCTTCATATGTAGTAAGTCACTGTCACTTCCCTTAGGACACATATATGTATGTATTCTGGGAAATGTTTGTATCTTTATATCTGTTTATCTGTACATGTACAAAACAGTTTCTCATTGCTCCTAAATGAGGACTCCGCTTATTTTACACATCAGTGAGAAACTTGAAAGTCAGCTTCACCTGGAGCTCAAAGAGCGGGGTTGTGAAAAACAAAAAAGGTTTGTAAAATACAATATTTTGCAGGACAAGACGCAAACTAAAGTGCAACACAAGTGTTTTGGAACATCTTAAAGAACAAGAAAAAAACACTTTAATGGGCACATATCATGCAAAACCTACTTTTTAACCATTAAATACATTTTGTTGTATACTTAGAGTCTCTAGGAATGCAGAAATTTTGAGTTTAGTTTTTGCCGATGATGTGTACCTTTCTATTCTCTTGGGGTCATATTTTTAACCTGTTCAGTTTTCTCTATTTTATATGATGTTTTCTGAACTATTATGTCAAAGTGTTTGTGGCAGAACTGCKAAATAAGGTCTGGACTTACCAACTACAATTTTATCGTCTTCAKTCTCCTCTAACATGTAAGGCTGGACGGACAAGTCRTCCCTTGTTGACATGTTTTAATAAAAGTGTAAATAAAAAGTTTCTGCCCAGCTATTTAGCTGTAAAGCCCTCTATCAAACTAGAATGGACCRGTCTGGAAGCTGGAGGGGGGCAGGGTGCGAAGTGCCTCATTTGAATTTAAAGAGACAGCCTCAAAACGAGTTGATCTGAGACACACCTCAGAAAAGGGGTGGAAGAGGGGCTAGTGGAGTTACAATAAGGAGGAAATCAGAGTGAGGTGTTGCAGTTCCACTTTGATATGTCTCCTTTAACTAACTCCTAACTCTTCTTTCCTTCCCTCATTCCTTGATCATGATCTGACTGATCTGAGGTTTTGTTTTGTTTGTTTTTTATTTTATTTTCTGTGCTACATGGCACAGATGGCAAGCTATTAAAAGAAATGAACAAAATCTCACACAAGACATACGAATAAAGTGAATAACTGTCAGCAGGAGAGGCAAAATCAGTATACTCAGTCAACCCTGGATAATTATAGAACAATTTTCTCCATTATAAATTAATAAAAGTTATTACGGTGCCGTATAAAAATAGATGGTGCAGGCTCTGAGTACAGCCTGAAGCTAGTTCACATGGCTGTAGCAAATTAATTTCAAATCGATCCATAACACTCAAGGTGAAACAGTGTTGGGATGTTGATTTATAGTGTGTGTGTTTGTGTGTGTGTGTGTGTGTGTGTGTGTGTGTGTGTGTGTGTGT